TTGGATCACAAGATTGATAAGTTGATCTGAATTCTTGCTTAGGTGAGAGAATGATTGCTTGATTTGTACATCTCTTAGGCTAGAATGGTTATGATCGTTATGCTCATGGTTAAGGATACGCCATCACAAGTGGGTCTGACACTTCAATCTTATTGAATATGAACTGCTTATTGACGCCAAGTTAGTTCCTTTTAGATACCATGTCTAGGAGTACAACATTGAGAATTGCTTGCTTATAAATGCTTGATGCTTGCCTTTGCTAGAAATCCTCATTTTCACTAAAGCCACTGTCCCACAATTGCTTAGAACCTTGAGTCTTGCTTTTAATTAATTGTCTTTAAGATCATCTTGCTTAATTCCTGCTTTAGTTGTCATTCTTGCTTAGTTCTTGTTTAGTCATTGCTTTAAGTTCATTGCTTACTTTTATTCACTTGCATTTAGTTTATGCTTTCTTTCTATTGTATTGTTAGACTTGTTCTTGTTCAATCAAAATCCATCATTGCTTAGCTTATGGCATTGTTTGCATTTCATCTTCCACAAATGAATTGACACATGATCCCTATTCTACAACTGATTAGAGGCTAAGGACATTTGAGTTTAGACTTGCAAAAGCCTTGTTTCAAGATCCAGGTCGTCGGGTTCATCAATCAACTGTGGAATCTTAAATTTCTCTCATTTAGGCGTCACATCTGCTTGATCATCAACAACCTCTAGTTTCGCCTCACAGCCTTCTATTTTCACTTTCACCTCATAGCCTTCTATTTTTACTTTACGGAGAATCTAACCTTTCAACTTCGGATTTGGAAACTGAGGATCAGACGTATCTTGCATTTCCACGGTCCATGACTGTTGAACCATAACTGAATTAGTACATTGTTTTAGACTTATCATTTCAATGGTAAATTTGTTTTAAAAAATTTTAAATACAAGATTTGTAAACATTATAAGTTAACCAAAATAAACGGAATCAGCAAACTTGTCTACAAATTTCAAATACAAGATTCATAAACATTTGAAAGACCACATTTTGTAATACACAGAGGAAATGGATACTACAAATCTGCAAAGTTTGGTACCAAAACTCTATCATTAATAATTTCAAGATGCATAAAAACAAAAACAAAAAAAAACAAAACACCCTCAAAGTTCTTACGATGTTGATCAAAATAAGTAACTTCAATAAGTTATTTTTACTAAGACTTGCGTACCCGATTCTTTTTAACCGCGGGTTCATCTGCTTTGGTTTTGGTATTTCCAGCCGGATTTTCTCCCACAGGTTCTTTCTCTTTCGGAATCTGAACATTGTCTTCCATCCCACCCACAAATGTAGTAACCCTCTGGTCTATAGCATCAATTTTGGAAGATAATAGCTGAATTACCGGTAAAAGTGCACTTCTCTCACTACTATTCTCCTGCGTCATTATCCTCTTCTTTACCTTCTCAACAAACTGACCTACCGGCATGTCCACCTCTTCATCCTCACTACTCTCCGCCTCCGACTCCTTATCAGAGACATCCTCACTACTCTCCACCTCCGTCACCATCACTTTCTTTTTTCCTTTCTTCTTCTCCCTCGAAGCACTTTCTACCTTTCGCTTCTTCTTCCTTTTAGGCTCTTCTACAAAATCACTATCACTTTTCTCAACACTACTCTCCTCCTCCTTCTTCTTTCTCTCCTTCTTCTCCATTTTCTCCTTCTCCTTCCCCTTTTTCTTATCCTTCCCCGTCTCCTTCTCCTTTGAATTGTTCTCTACTGTCTCCTCCCACACTGTCTCATCTAAACATCCATCGAGAATATCGGTTAACATATTGTGAAGCTTCAGATCCACATCTGGGGTTGACTCCTAGTCTGGCCAAAACGGATATATATCCTCTCGAGGAACCTCGACTAACCTCGACTAGATGCCTCACCCTAACCTGTAGACAAAGACAAGGTACACAAATCAAAATCATAATACTAACAAGTCTACCACGCATATATGTATATCACAATTAATACTAACAAGTCTACCACAACTAATACTAACAAAGTCTACCATATATATATATATATATATATATATATATATCTACCACACCTAATACTAACAAGTCCATCACATCCACCACAACTAATACTAACAAGTCCACCACAACTTATATTAACAAGTCTACCACAACTACTAACAAGTCAACCACTTATATATGTCCATCACAACTACTATTAAAAATTCAAATGAAAATCAAATCTAAATAATTTAGATTACATCTACTATCAATCATATTCTACCACCATAAGTACAGTTCACATCATATTTCAACCATAACTAATGTTATAACTACCAAAATAATATATTTGTAAGGAAAACATACCTTCTTGTCATCGAATTTGCTTCTTTGTTCCTCCAAAACTTTTTCAAGAATGTATCTGTCCTTAGACGAACGCCAACGAAGTAGAAGACACGGTAAAGTGAGCGGATTGTTCTCAAATTTACCAAATTTTTCTTCCAATATCGGGACTAACTCATAAGCCCATATAAGCAATGCATGCACACATCCATGGAATGTGTAGCTATTTCCTCCCAAAGATGCCACTTTGATGGACACAATCATCTCCTTAAAACCGACCCGTCCCCATGAATTACTCTCAAAAGCTTTGTTATCCATAACTCTTTCAGCGCAGTTCAAAGGAAACCAACTATTCCGATTAATACTGAATATCCCAACGTGCAGTATAAACAACACCGAAAGAATCTTTGTCTTCTGATACGACTAATTTTTGCATCTTCCAAATACCTACTCATGCCAATTAGGCCCTACACCTGCATTCACGCCAAGCTCTCCCCAAAAACTCGTTGTGGTCTATGTCCCACGGCTCATCCCCAATGGACTGACAGTTGAGCCCGGTTATCTCTTCAAACTCGTGGAACGAAAACCGCACTGGACGCCCACCGATAAGTGCCCAAATCTCGTAACTTAGATCAATAGCCAATTGGTTTGTTACCACATTATGGACCGTTTTTGCTGCCCATATGTATGCCTTATGTCATTGTAGACATTCTCGCTAATAGCCTTCTTTAACATCCCTAAATCCGTCAAATGACAATAGTTGTTCAAACCCCTCTTCTGAACAGAAAATTTCCCCGGAGGAAATAATCAGGGTGGGTATTTCAGCATCTTCGCGCTTGAAAACGTCATCCACTAAGCTGCAAAAGTATAACACATATATCATAAAAAAACTCTACCAACACAGAGCAAACAAGTCTACCACCAAACGTCTGAACCATCAAGTCTACCAACACGCTTATCATCACAAAACAACTCTATCAACATGTTTACCATCACAAAACAAGTCTACCACCAAAAGAGCAAGTCCTTATCATGAAGTCTACTATCAATACACAATAAAAATTAACACATGTACCATTACTGAAAACGGAAAAAAAAAAATTAAAATCTGGTTACTTTTTCGCGGTTCACTTTCTCAATATTCACTGGATTCTGTCATCTACTCATTGTCGTCCTCACCGGATTTTTTTAAATAAAAACAATTGTCCGTTTAGAAACTTTATCAACAAATAAGTCTACCAAAACAACAAATTCGACCAATGAAAGCAAATAAGTCTACCAATGAAAAGTCTACCATCAGATAAGTTTATTCGTTTACCTTTTCCACGCTGTACTCTCTCTATCCTCACCGCATTCCTTCGCTTTCTCCTCCTCGTCCTCGCCGGAATTCTGCTAAATAAAAACAAAAGTCCGGTTATAAACTTCGACAAAAACCCTAACTCTACAAATCCGAAACCAAGGTTACCATCAAGAAAAATCGTAGATCTACAAATGGAGTCGACTCGACGATGATGGATGAAAGGACTTACTAAATATTCAATCGCCGCGAAACGAAGCAGCCATCGAAAAACTCTTTCGCAACGAAACAAAGCACGCGTCGCCGTATGTAGTAAGGAGGCACTACCGTCTGTCGTAAGGAGACGCCGCCGTCGTCTCTAGGTAAACGCCGCAAAGGAAACGTCGAACTCGCCTGTCTGAGAAGAGATTCGCCTATCGGAGAAGAGAGGTCTAGGGATTCTTATCCCGTGGCGGCCAAAATGAAATAATTTTAGGACCGGATGAAAAAAATTTCTCCTTTAAGTTTCAGATTATTAATTCATTTCTTATTTATTTTAATAAAAGATTACTTATTTATTTCTTATTTTTTTTCTTAGAATGGCAATATGGTTATTTTATAGTTTTTTTGGATCAAATGGTCTTTTACAAATTTATTAAGGTTATTGTAGTTACACAGACATAAGGAGTGAGTTAATCTAGTCAATATCCTATTTAATAAGACTATTCTGAGTAAATAACTCTAATATATATATAAACAAAAAGGATATATATGCGATGTTTAATGACAAAAGTCATGAATAATTATTTTATAACATTTTCCAATTAAAGTCGAATTGAGCTCTTTTCAAAAAGTCGAAAACCAAAAACCACTTTATCAAAAACCACTTTATTAGATTTAGAATATTTATCATTATTTTTTATATTTATTTGTTCGCAATTTTTTAATATAATTTCCTTTTTCTAAATCTTATATATATATATATATATAAATAATATGTTGGAAATAAGATGTGTTCCTTTTTCCATTTTGCATTTTTAAATTAACTTGCATTTGGAACAATACTGAATTGTTAGGGCCGGACTGAAAAACATGCACGCTTCTCTTTGTAGGCCTGAATTGTGCAAACTTTTTCAAGAACCAACAACCTTCCTCCTCCTCGCTGTAGGCCTGAAAAAATGGGATTAAACCAGACCGGACTAAAAAGTATGCACGTTTTGTGGGTTTCAATACAGGTAGGGTCGGAATAGCGTATTTGACATGTCCACCCAAAGAGAAATAGTTTACTCCAATCAAATGAAATTGTGGTAGGCACTAAAAGTTTTGTGGGTTGGAAAATAATGCCAGACTAACCCGAATACATAGTTTAATTTTCTCCTCATTTCTGTACTTTTTTCTACGCATGCTGCTGTAAAGAAAAAAAAAGAAACAAAATCGACACATTTTCAAGTTTCTCTTTTAAGAGGGAGTAAGAAAACAAACTCCCCTTTGAAAAAATTTTAAGTTAACAAATGAAATTTTTGGGTATGAATGTTGAGTTAACAAATGAAATTTGTTTAAGATACTATAAGTTGCGGGTTCATTTGAAAAAGAAAAAAAAAAGAACATACTAAATATAAACGCAGATGCAAACAAAACAATCGAGATAACAACAATGTACTTACAGCGGGTGAGGACCAGCTACCACATGAGAGAGCAAATGTTACAAGTGGCTCGGAGAATTCTAATACAAATTTACTCCTTGCTGCCACTTCATTTTCCTTTGAATCAATCGGGGAACTCTGATATATCAAGCCAGAAATGTAAAATTAAAAAATCATTGATAAATGATATAATGACAACTCTATAGAAAGAAAAGGGACAGGCGAACGAAGAGCTTACATAATTTGAGTGAAACGGTAAGCGCAGGATGAAGTGTTCGATTGTAATTGCATTAAGAAAGTGTCCACCCACATTTATAATCGCCTGCACAACAAACACATGGATCCTTTTGGTTATCTTTTCAATTTTCATGCAGATAAATTCAATCCTAGAGTTACCTTTCGCATTAGTCTTACCACCATCTCAGGAATCTCTGCTATTCCATGTTCAAGAAAGCCCTAATGTTCAATGTCTAGTTATAATGAAGTCAGGACAGGAACATAACTATATATAATCCTTAGTGCTTACATTCATCATGCAACTGTTATAAATGTTTATCCAGAAAGCTAACTTCTCTTGCTGATTAAGTTTCTTCAGGTTGACTGAAGAAAGTCTTTCAAGAAGACCACTGAAAGAAAACATGAGTAATATAAAATCAACACAAGAAAATTACATTTTTGGAAAGCATGAAATGTTTTCAAACGAGGCTTACTTCAGACGGCGAATGAGAAACGCAGAGGAACTTGACATTCTGTTTCGGTTTATTGAATCTGCTTGGACATTAATGAAACTCTTATATGGACCAATATCCCTTCTTCTAAAGCTGGAGCAAATTCCATAAGGATCTCTGAACATATTATCTTTACTGTTTTCTTGAGATTTTCTAACGGCGCCATGGCTCTTTACTGAGCTCATTCTCATGTAAATGTTAGAAAGACATTTAACTAAATCCTCAGAAATTTTATTTGGGTCACAGTTCTCATCAGCTCCACGAGAAGACCTCCCTTTACGATGCATTGGACATTCCTGCCGTTTGTGTTATGTAAGTACACCTTAAAATTAAATCTGCAATTCAACAAAATCAATGAAAAGAAGCAAACTATGATTATGTATGTACCTGTAGTTTCTGATCTCCTAAACTCTTATCCAGTTGTGTATGAGCAAAAGACATTTTCTTCGCCTCCATTTTGATTGTAGAATTAGCAGTCAACTTGTTGTTTTTACCTTTTAGACTCTCTAGAAAGAAAGCAGTAGCATCATATATCATTCTAAAATCACACAAAGTCATTTAAAAATTCTTCTGACTTAGATAGAACCTAGAAAGCTCACCTAAAACAGATAGTCGTTCCCGCGAAAAAGCATTCAAAGTTCGTTTTCAAAGAAGATGATAATGCCCCGTCTTGATAAAATTTCTGCCCTAAATTTACAATATGTTCTTCTAACCGAACAATTTCCTCTTCAAGGACAGCCACTTCCGCAAGTAGCTCCAAAATCTAGAAGAAAAACCAAGATCAAGATCCCAATTTATAGAAATTCAGAGAGCTATTTTTGAGTTACTAACCTGTGGAGGGAGAAATGGCGGAAGACGAGGAAGTGTTCCAAGAGGTCTGTTAAATGCTCTCTCTATTGCTCGGTGAATGTTCTCTTCAAGTCTAAGCTTCTTCCTAAGCTTTTCAACCTTTAAAACCAAAAGACAACATCCACTCTTCAAAACTCTATAAATTGTATTAACTCGAATTTAAAAAATCAAAAGTCTGAAAAATCGTTTACATCTTGTTCCAGAGCAATGATCTTCTGTCGATTTAACGCTTTTAGTTTTACAACACCATTTTCACCGCCTTTCAATTTCTTCCCCTGCATGGAAAGTTATCAACTTCGCAACATACTAATGGATCTTGATTTTTAGATATTCAAATGAATTGCAGCTGATTGTAACGCCTTTAAGAATTTGTTTTCAAGATCACAGCAAAAAAACAAAACAAATTCTCAATTCACATTTTTAGTTTTTTTAATCTAACAATTGAAAAACACCGACAAGAAAAGATCATCAAACTCTGATATTTCTTGGAAAAAAAAAAACGGATCAAAATGATTAGGATTCCTCACTCACAATTTTCGAATGTGTATGACTGCTACTGCTGCTGCAACTATTCATCATCATTTTCGTCTCCCGATCATCTAAAATCTGAAGAATCTAAATTCAAATACCATTCAGAATCACAAGATAAAAAAATATATCCAAAAAAATTGCAGCTGATTTTTAGATATTCAAAAAAATATAAATTCAAATATCTAAAATCTGAAGAATCTAAATTCAAATACCATTCAGAATCACAAGATAGAAAAATATATCCAAAAAAATCACAACTTCGCAACATACTAATGGATCTTGATTTTTAGATATTCAAATGAATTGCAGCTGATTGTAACGCCTTTAAGAATTTGTTTTCAAGATCACAGCAAAAAAACAAAACAAATTCTCAATTCACATTTTTAGTTTTTTTAATCTAACAATTGAAAAACACCGACAAGAAAAGATCATCAAACTCTGATATTTCTTGGAAAAAAAAACGGATCAAAATGATTAGGATTCTTCACTCACAATTTTCGAATGTGTATGACTTCTACTGCTGCTGCAACTATTCATCATCATTTTCGTCTCCCGATCATCTAAAATCTGAAGAATCTAAATTCAAATACCATTCAGAATCACAAGATAGAAAAATATATCCCAAAAAAAATGTATGGGTACCTGGTTTTGAACCAGTGTCAAACTGTGATGATCATTCTGAATTTGAGGCTTTGAAATCAGAGCTGTTATATGTAATACTATATGTATAGATGGAGAAAATTGCAGAAGACGAAGATTTGGTGTGATCTTTCGTCTTCCGCTTCTGGTGAAGTCTTTTTCTTATTTGTTTATTTATTCAGAGGAAGAAGAAAATAAGTATGGGATATCGAAAGGAGCGGTGAAACGGTCGGTCACGTTTATTTATATTTTAATATTGTAAAATATTTGCCAATTGTTAATTACTGTGATCGAGTTGGGTTACTCCTTAAGAGGGACCAGGTGATAACCTGCATGTACAAGAAGATTTATATTTTTAATTTATGATTAATACAATATAGCATTTTATTTTAAATTTAATGATGAAATAATTTTAAAGTTGTTAACTATATAAATATAAAAATATTGTTTAAATTAATTTGTATACTCTTTCAATTATTTTTTTTTAAGTTTTATTTCTTTGTACTAACATTCTCTTTAAAGTAATCTTTTCATCACTGAATATATATTTTATATATGTGGTTTTTTCTATTAAGATATATAGTTATAACCTCATATATTAATGAGTTGTTAATAAATTTTGTATCATTTCCATTAAATAAAATTCAAGAATTAATTTTACAAAAATAATATATTTTGACTATTCCAATTTTTTTTAAAATACGTTTAACCAATATTAATATCACTTGAATTTCGTTGTTAAAAAAAAAATATCATCTGAATTTCAAAAATCAGTTATCTATATTATTTTATGTTTATATATTTTTACAAGCTTTAGTTTTAATTTTAACTTTATTGGTTGCGAGAATTGATATAAAAAACTATTATATATTTTTCAAACATAAAAAAACAATTACATATTAAATGGGATTTAATAATAATTTACTACACTCATCCACTACCAAATGATTTACGTATATTTGAATAAGTTGTTTTTTAAAAAAATTTCGGTGTTTTCTCTTTGTCACAACCCCATTTACATCCCATTGTGAATCGTAACGTAATTTTGTCTTTTTTTTTTCTTCTTCCTCTAACAACAAATTTTATGACTTGTTGACAAAAAAAATTGAAAATTTAATCGTATCGTAAACCAAACTCCACCCCCACTCTCTTCTTCTTCATCGCCATTTATTAATTTACTATAATTACCAACTGTAGTAGGACTAAGCCGCCGTATCTCCACCGTATGTGCTACCACCGGCGAAGCACGACGACAGAGTACGCATGAGTTATGCACAAGGCTCCGGCGATACGTCGTATGCGAAACCAGAGACGTTGGAGCAAACCTAAGTTCATGAACTTGTATGCAAATGGATATCGGCGAGGCAGATCGACGTGAACGGCGATTCTACGATTCTGGTGAAACTATCGGCCAATCCTATATCCTCTCCGGGGAAGTTCCGCATGACGATATGCGTCACAACTGGGAATGCGTCCTGGTCGAATTTATCATCCGGATGCAACCCGGTGTGTCCGTCTTCCACGATGGCAGTCTCTACACCGGCGAGAACGACTCCGGAAATTGTGATATTACTTATCTGCGAAAAACATATGTAGTTCAGTGCGGTGCAAAACATACCGCTCTTGCCTTCTATGTGTAATCCTCATCCACCATCTTCATTCTGAAAAGCAAACATTAAACACACAGTTAAAATCAAAATAGTGTTTTATGATCCTTACCTAAACAAATCAGTGATGTACCTGGTGACAATAGATATATCGAAGCATCTCTTTACGATGTTCTCCCGTAAACATCTCCTCAAGATGTCCTGTGATATAGAAACAGAACACCTGCAACAAAAACAAACACTAGAGTCGATCGTATTGAGGAAAACAGAGAGGGAAGGAGAGAGAGAGAGAGAGAGAGAGAGAGAGAGAGAGAGAGAGAGAGTAAAACTTACCATCGTGGGAACGTAGAAGAGTGGACCGGTGATTCCAGCTGGCCAGTGACCGTCACTGCTTTGCAACGCCGAGAGATAGTGAACGGATCTTCGTAATGCATTGGTCGCTGCTTCGTTCGTGATTTTCTCAGTATCGTCGATCTTCACCGGCGGGATTACTTGCTCAAATTTCTTCTCCTTGAGAAACAAACATTCCAGACCAAATTTGTATGTTTGATAGTTATAATCAGTTTAAGACTGAAGTACAATCATTTGTAGGGAGTGCAATAATAATAGTAGCAATTTTTTTAATTTTGGTACCTTGAATGAGTTTGATAAGATATATATAGTATATATTAATAATCAAATTAAAATAATATATTCTTCAAGAAGATATGTTAGTGAACTTTGAATACCATATCATAAAAAAAAAAGAGAATCAAATGCTAAAAATGAATGAAGATCTGTTGATAAGAAGAAAAACACACCTCGTTTCCATCTTTACAAGCACCTGGTGAATTTAGAACACTGTATCCAGCCTTACATTTGATGTCTTACCAAAACTCTGAGTCACATTAGAGAGAAACCAAGCCACGAGGATTTTCGTGGAGTTTCCTTGTTTTTAAACTCAGATCATTTATAGATTCTTATTCCTTTCTATTTAGCAAAAATCTTCAGATGCTCCATCATAATTTTCCACACAATGTGCTGAATATGACAGATTCTCCTCGAATCCGGCATTCACCAATCATCCATTCCATGTCAAAGCAACTATAGCTTCAATTTCAGATTCAGCCAGAATTAGGTTCAAATGATAAATCTAATCAACGGTTTCAAACATGGAAATCCAATTTTTTCAAGTCACCAAAATACCCAAATCATGAAGCGCATTGCAACTCCACCCAGAACTCAATACAAAGGTCTCAAGCGAATTATAGCAAGATTAATGAAATAGCTCGTACATAGGCTTAATCCAATTGATTAATTTATACAAGTAAATAGAGAAAGGGAATAAAATCATTGAAATAAAGTAAGAATACTACGCAGGAACTAAGAAATCTCGAGTTCTAAACTCACAGAAAAATTACTTTACAAGCTAAGTTACGAGACAGACCAACCAAATTCAGAAGAAAAGTAATTCGAAAATCGACTCTATTCGCAGAAAACTCACCGAACTGGACATTAGAATCTCCCCGGAAGCTCGAGAAGAAGAAGAATAAGTAGATGGAAGAAAGTGAAGAACAAAACCCTATATTGAGCAAAGGATGCTGACTATTATTCGTTGTTGCTTCAATCTCATATTTTCCACATTTGCGCCGCCGTTGCCTCAGGCATATCTCCTTCTTCGTTCTCCTACTCCAGCCGTCGCGATTTCCCAGACGGCGTCACCTGGACACTTTTCCAGAACCAGTTCGGGAGATCGCCTATTTCAGCTGCATCTTCGCTTCCAAGTGTCGGGATGGATTAGCGTCAGAGAGAAGAGGTGAGAAGAGGAGAGAAGAAGGCGAGGAGAAGATGGAATGTGGAAGCAGAGGATATAAACTAAGCTACTGACTTTTCTGAATTCTAAGCGCATTGTAATTTTGTTTTTAAAGATAAGTTGGAACGATGGAATGTTAAAAAAAATTTTGGTTTAAAGATCTGAGGAAAAGAAAGAAATCTCTGTGATACTTTTAAATAATAAAATGAGTTTTAAGAAAATTGATCTGCTGATATGTCAGGGAGAGAGGTGCTGAGATGTCATCTCATACTGAAACACAACTCAGTCATTATATAATAGATTAACTGAACTATTAGTCTGTTAGTCTCTACTTTATATCAATCTAAAGAGGATCGAAACAATGGCGTTCCTTTGTTTCTATTGGAGATGCCTAGATTGAGAGAGGTTTATCTAAGCGGATATCAGCTCAGAGGCCATATTCCGGAGATTTGGAAAAACTCGTGATGGATCCAAGTATTTGGACTGTTTTGAGCAGCAAAATGTAACAATTCATGAAATGCTAATGGGGTGTTGAATCCACCCACACTGAAGTTGGACAAAACAACATAATCTTTCATGTCACAGAAGTGTTGCAACTTGTAGGCCGAGAGATTTGGCTGTGTATGGCTGCATCCCGGTTAAGCCCTTCCTGTAAAAGTCAGATTTCAGTCAAGTACAAGACTGAACACTAATCAGATACCTTCACAACTAGCATATAAACTCTATAAGCACCAATGTATATATGCCATACATTACCTGAAGTATATCAGCGAAACTCTTCCTTCTCGGTCCAAACCTCGGATATCCAATCAACTCATCTCTTCCTTGATCTAGCCGCCGCACGGCCATCTTCTGTGAGCATCCCTGAGCTACAGCGTTCCTCAACTCCATCAAATCGTTCTCTGCCTGCTCAACTGCAACCCCTAGCTGAACTGAGAAGAGAGATGAGGAGTTGTCCACTTTCTTCCGCCATTCCCCAACAGGATCAAACACAGACTCACTGTTGTGAAACCTTTGAGCAACCCTTCAATTCTCTCTAGACAGCAACGGAGGGGGCATCCTCAAGTTTGAGTGTTCATTTAAATATTAATACGAGAGATAAGGGTGCCAACGTCTAACGTATCTCTCGTATTACTATTCGAATGAACACTCGAACCCGAGGTTGCCCCCTCCGTTGCTGTGTAGGGAGAATTGGAGGGTCGCTCAAAGGTTTCAGAACAATAAGTCTGTGTTTGATCCTGTTGGGGAATGGTGGAAGAAAGTGGACAACTCCTCGTCTCTCTTCATGGTTCAGCGAGGGGTTTAAGTTGAGCAGGCCGAGAACAATTTGATGGAGCTGAGGAACGCTGTAGCTCAAGGACGCTCTCAGAAGACGGCCGTGCAGCGGCTAGATTAAGGAAGGAATGAGTTGATTGGATATCCCAGGCTTGGACCGAGAAGAAAGAGTTTCGCTGATATACTTCAGGTAATGTCTAAATTATATACACTAGTATGTTTTTCGCTATGCGCAGATTAGTTTTAAAATATATATTTTTTTTTATTTTCATAATAATTAATTTGTTTTGTTATAGAATCAAAGAATATGAAAGTTTTATAAAGATGAATTTACTTTAAGTTTTTTGTATTTAATAATTGAATTATTTTAATCCAGTTCCTCACCAGAGCTGGTTGGATTATGCGTAACTCTTTAGATTTCGGAAAATACTGGGATTCTGTTCAAATTGGACACTCTACCTTAAGTTTAGAGGCTAAAAGCAAAGCCCTACTAATCTATATATATAAAGTAAGCTTTTCTCTCTTCTCGTGCTGCCACCTCATCAATCCATTCATTAATTATTTTTTATTTAAATTCTTTTAAAGCACAAAATAACATTAACATTCAATATAAGAAAATAGTAAATATTCAAATGTAATTATAATACACAAAATATTAATATTCAATATAAAATTACAAAAATAAATAGACAATTATAATATGTTGTCAGAAAATAAAATAAAATAAAACTAAAAAATAATTACATACATTAGCTCTAAATATTTTAATATTCAAGACTGATTTCTGCAAGTGTATGATGGAATTGATAATTAAAAAGACGGAAAAATATAAATTAACATTAACATTCAATATAAAAATAACAAACATAAAAACACAATTATAATGTATTGTCAGAAAATAAAAACCAACCAAATACAAAATAACAAAACAAAAAAATAATAATATACATTAGCTCTAAGTATTTTATGATTGAAAACGAAACTTTACGAGTGTGTGACGAGAATTGGTAACTAGAAAAACAGAAAATAATATTAAAATTTAATATAAAAAATAGCAAACATATGAAATAAATTTTTCTCTCTTTTGGTGCTGCCACATCAACAACCACTTCATTAATTAATTTCATTTAATTTCTTTTAAGATGCAAAATAACTTAACATTCAATATAAAAAGAGCAAAATATTTATAATACACAAAATATTTGCATTCAATATAAAAAAAAACAATTATAATATATTGTCAGAAAATAAGAGAAAATAACACAAAAAAATAATTGTATACATTAGCTCTGAGTATTTCAAAATTTATTGTAGAAATTTACGAGTGTTAGATGGGAATTGGTAATAAGAAAAATGGAAAACAATAAAAGTTAACATTAATATCAAAAATAACAAACATATAACGACAATTGTAATGTGTTATCAGAAAATAAAAATCAACAAAATACAAAATAACAAAACAAAAAATAAGGTATACAATAGCTCTGAGTATTTCATGATTCAAAAATAGGAATTTACAAGTGTGTGACGGGAATTGGTAATTAAAAAAAAATTAACATTCAATATAAAAAATAGCAAACATAAAAACACAAACAATGTGTTGTTAGAAAATAAAAGAAATCAACAAAGTACTATAAAAAAAATAATGGTATACATTAGCTATGAGTAAATCAAGATTCAAGGCGGACATTTACGAATATGTTACGGGAATTGGTTATTAGATTGACGAAATATTTAAAAAAATAGTATTAACATTCAATATAAAAAGTAGGAAACATAAAAAAGACAATTACAATATGTTGTCATAAAAAAAATACAATATAAAAAACTAATAAATAATAATATATATTAGTTCTGTTTATTTCAAGATTCAATGCGGAAATTTACGAGTGTCTAAAGAGCATTGACAATTAGAAAAATAAAAACTAATATTAACGTTCAATATAAAAATAGCAAACATAAAAAGTTAAACTATAATGTGTTGTTTGAAAATAAAAAATCATCAAATTCCAAAATAAAATAAAAACTAAAAATAATAATATACATTAGCTTTGGATATTTCAAAATTCAAGGTGAAAATTTACGAGTGTGTGATAGAAATTAGTAATTGAAAAGACGGAAAACGGTTTCCAAAGAAAATTCAATAAAAATAGAATAAATAATTCGGGTAACGAGACAGGTTCGAGAAATTTTATTATCTAAAATCTATTGACAAATTCTCAATAATTTGGATGAAAGTCAACTTCATAATAAATATTTTGGGAAAATTCAGAAAAGTCGAAGAAATTTTAGTACATTATATAATTTTAAGAATTTTAACTCTCAAATGGATATTTCAGATATTTAATATCATATATGTTCTATTTTCTTATTTGTTTGAATTAACCAAATAATTTTGAATAGATAACAAACACAATATAAAAATAATAAACAAATCATAAAATCTTCAGAGCTATATGGTACAATAAATATAATATAAAAATTACATAAAATGATTATCAAATTCACTGTGTTGGGTAGATCACAAACTAGAGTTTCAAAAAAATGGAAAATTCGAGTCATGTACAGGTGAGAAATAAAAATTTATCTTAAAATTTTTAAGAATATACGATACAACAAATATAATACCAAAAATATATAAAAATAATTCACATAGCTGCGCGCGGATCATCAATTAGTAAATTATATACTTACCTCACTGGCAGAGATGTAACCATTTTGGTCTTTGTCAAACACTTTGAATGCTTCTTTCAGCTCCTCATCTGCATCAGTTTCCTACAGAACACAAAATTAATTACTTTATAGAAGAAGAAAAAAAAAACCCATAAAAGATGAAGAATCTATGATTCATTGATGTAATTTTCTTATAATTAAAAAAACCTGGATTTTGCTGGCCATGAGGTTGAGAAACTCAGAGAATTCGATGGTGCCGTTACCATCAGAGTCGATCTCATTGATCATATCTTGAATCTCTTGTTCGGTCGGATTCTGATCCAACGAACGGATCACAGTGGCAAGTTCATCAGCAGTGATGCAACCATCTCCATCTTTGTCAAACAGACAAAACGCCTCTTTAAACTCCATTATCTGTTCTTGCGTCAGTTCTTGTGTCTCGTCCATCCAAATAAAAACTGTTCTTATGAGAGAGAGAGAGGGAGAGAGAGAGAGAGACAGAGAGAGAATAGCAAAAATTAAAATCTTTGAAGTGCTTCAACTCTCATTCTGCTTTCCTATATACATGTAGAAGTCTTTGCTTTTAGGCTCTCCTGCTTTGGACTCATTCACTTTTTCCACCTTTTTTTTTAACAAATCTTTTTCAAATAATTTATTTTCAATTTCATCTCAGTCACATGACTCGAAATATATTTCCTTAAAAGAATTTATTACGAACGAGTCATGGGATATTTTCAGGTTAACTATAGTGATTTGATTGAAACTCTTTTTAAAATTCTTTTACCGTAGAAAGAGCGTACATATATCAAGATATAGTAAGTGTGTATTTGTTGGTTGACCAAAAATTAAAGAGTGTATTGTTTCTTCTAAAATATTCGGCTCACTTGAAGATCAGAATCACGTCAATTTCTCGAGTGTTATTATATGTTTTTATTTTATTTTATATAATAATGGAAACGGCTTTGTTTCGAGAAGCAATTTGTGTTTACTATTTCTTTTACTTTGTCAGTGTATTGACCATATATATATTAGTATCACTTGAATACGCGGTACCATATCAATCGCTATCGACCGCAACGCGGTCAAGATGTGGTCGATCGTAACTGTACCTTTGTTGAATTTGATATATATACATGACTCATGTTCTACAATATAAAAAGAGTTTTTCTTTGTCGAATATAAATGACAGGAAAATGTAAATGGGATGATTTTTGGTATTATAACTGTAAATGATTGCGAATTGTGTAATTTGTAAATGTACATAAAATGATTTTGTATGTAAAGTAAATACTTATAAATGGGTGTGGGTTTCGACAGCTGTAATAGTAGATGACGAGGAGACAAAGAGCATTGAAATTGTAGACCAAGCATCTTCGTTACGGGAGTACGTGTCGATCTGTTTTTGCGTTTCTCATTATTTTTAACACATTCTTCCTGTAAAATTTGATTCCTTACAAATAAAAATAAAAATTCTCCGGCCAAATCAGATCACCGCCGACTCTTTCACGTCGTAGTTCCACCATATACTACAACTATGTGTGTATGATATAAATAAAAAGAATTTGTTTTAATGTGGTTATTTTCATTTAAGAGTGTTCATGATTTTGAAGAACAAAACGTAGAAAATGGTTATTAGGATCCTTTCCAATAATTCTGGTTTAGTATTGTTTGTTACTTTGTTCATCAATACATGAAGGACTAGAGATTGTTTAGTCATTTTGCTAATTCTTTTAAGAAATGTTTAAATTTTTCTTATAAATTTTAAAATTATAATTTTTCAATATATATTCGAAGATAAAATATAATGAGATTCCCCCATGAGATATGTGAAATTATTTGAAGGTTTTGCAAAGTTCAGGTGGAAATATTTGTATACACGAATAATATAGTTAGTAGAGAAAAAGACATTTTTAAAAATAAAATAAAAAGAGCAGAGTCAGCTACAACCAATCAAACACACATGTATAGACACCGACCTCTAGTGCATGCTTAAACTTGTTGACTAAGCTGAATTGACCATGTCCAAAATCATCATTAGCTCATAATCAATTAACCATTATCAAAACAAACAGAATCTTATACGTAAGTGATTTAAAAAGTCAGAACTTAAGCTGGACGAAATCGAACACTCACCAAAAAACAAACATTTTGACATTATTCAGTAATATTTCTACACACGACATAAACAACTCTGGAACGATAATTCTTTATAGCCCGTAGAAAAAAAAGGAAAAAAAGTTATCTTTAAATTTACAAGTTTTACGTATAATCGCGTTGAACCCAAAACTAAATATAAGCTTTTGGTTGTATCTATAATGTCGGTCAACCCGAAACCCTAAATACAACACTCTCGAACGTGTCCTTCATTGCAACATATTGACTTGAATGTTGGTATTAGAAAATATGAAGTGGAGGAAAATGATGCTCTCAATATTTATAGTCAATACAAATATACGGTCATTTAAATGATTAAGTTCTATTCTGATTATGTGGTCTCGATAGAACTTAGTGACTTACTAATTTATATCAACACACAATAGTTAAAATAATCATTCGTATACATATTTATATGGTCTTTGTAGAATTTAGTAATACTAACTTATACAAAGTGTCACATATGGGTATATACCATTAGCAAAGCTTACGTGTAGTGTTCGGATGCCTTTTGATCTTGCAAAGTCAAAAGTAGTATAATGCTAACATTCTTAAAAGTTGTGGTGACCCAATTTAGAGTGTCGTTGCTTTTAGTTTTTTATTTGTTTTGAACTTTTTCTACGTTGCTTTTGGTTTTGTCTTTATATTTGACCTTTTGGTTCAGCAAATATAATGTAGATTTTTTAAAATAATAAAGTAGTGTGTAAAAAATACTCTATAAATTTCTAATGTGTTTTTTGGTCACACAGTTACAAAATATAATGCAAAATGATAATTAGATTTAGAATACACTAAAATATTTATAAATTAATATTCGATTTATTAATATTTTATAAATTAATATTTTTTTAATCTTAAAATTAATTTATCAACTAAATAATATATTTATAAATTAATAACTACTATAAATTAATAAAATTTATGACTCTTTATAATTCTGATATTATTAATTTATAGAAATTTTAATGTAATTATCATTTGAGTTAGGATTGAAATTTGAGATCTACCCACATCCAACGTATTTATACTATAAAAGATGACTAATTCTCTCCATATGAGTGTCACCTCATCATTTTGGTTTATAAAAAATTTATGATACAAATTATTATACTTAATTGGGGATTTAATGTACTTGATGCATTAAGTATTAAGATATTATGATTATAAAATATATTTAATGTATTAATTAATTATAATACTAAAAGAATATAAAAAATATGAAGTATTAGATAATAAATTTTAACAACAATATATATTTAATATCCAAAAATATTATTGAATATTTATTTTTTGGTAGTTTTTTAAAATCGACAAAAAAATTTATGTTTCTTATTTAATAGTATTTTCTTATTTCTATTTAATATTATAAGTTATTATTATAAAAAATAATTATACAAATATAAAAATAACGATAATTTGATATTTTAAACCTAAAAAGTTAGAATAAAAATTTATACAATATTATAATAAACTTCAAATAATTTCTTTATAAACTAATAATTATTTGATAATTTATTTTATTCAAACTTGATCTATTAATAATTTTAAATTAATAAGATATCAAAGTTCTAATATATTTATTTATAAAATATTTAATGCAGATGTATAAATTAGAATTATAAATCAATTATTTAAGCTCATAAAAATATAAAATGACAGCATTGCTATTGTGTAAATCTGCGTCGTGAACAAATACAACATGTTAAAAAAGGTCGTCTCTACCTATGTTGTGCTTGAAGAGTTTCTCTAATTAAATTTTGTTATATATTACTTCTCTAATTTGCAGTATATCTATTTAATATATTTTATATATAAGGTGTAATATATTTTACATTTTCTTATCAATAAACCATTTATCATACATATTGTATGTTTACTCAAATACACAACATCCTTAAGAAAAATTTATATTGTGTAACTACACTTTTTAATAAATTATATAGTGAACAAAAATTTACGCATCGGCGCGAATACTCATCTAGTAGCATTATAAAATACTTGGAGCATAGGATACACAAAAGGAATTTTCGAAGGAGATTGTCAAACCCTTAGTCAACCTTCTACACAACGCAGAGCAAGACCTCATAATTAACAACTTGTTAATTGATATTAAGTTATGGTTGGCAAAATTTGAAACTGTTGATACTATATAAATCAATTTTTCGAGAGAGAATGTAATATTGCTGCTCATCTTTTAGCTAAAACCTCTAGGTCTCAGAACTCCTTCCATACTGATTGTAATGTCCCGCCAAATTGGCTGATTCCTATTTTGTACTCTGATTTAAACAATTCCATATAAATAAATAATAATTTTGAGAAAAGAGGACATATATATATATATATATATAATGAATGTAGTTTACATATTACTTTATTGTTGTTGTAAACATTTGCTGTATAATGAAACTGATGTCTTTTTCATCTTTCTTTTATACAGATAAGAATGGATTTTTTCTCTATTTTGATCTAACGCTTTTGAGCTTTTGTCAAAAAATAAATACTTTTTTTTTGTAATTATTTGTTAACTTAGTTTACATATTTGAGCGATATAGGCTGAGTACATTACCAAAGACTCGCAGTAAAATAGTTGTTAACACTAAATGACCAAATTAAACACTAATATGAAAAAAAAACATACACATGAACGAACCCCTAATTTGTTAGAAGGAAACAATTTCAATTTTTATATACAAAATGAAATAACTTATCGAACATACAACACAAAATAAGTGGTGTCTAGTTTTACCAAGTTTCTAATTTTGTAAACTTCAATCATATATCATAATCGTAGGTACAAACATTACTCTAAAGAATTTTTTCCCTACATTAGATATTAGAAGATACAGCAATATTCTAGTACTCTTTGATGAAGCTCTATAATTTGTATAATTCTCGAAGATTTTGTCCTGGATTTAAACGCAAGTCCTTAACTTGTCATGTATGGCTCTGTATAAATTTAGCAATGCATAGTGGAAGAAGAGATGGTTGTCTTTGTATTAAATAAAGCAAAGGATGTTGATTTCTCCTCTTAGACTTACAGCCACGTAGATGGTTAGTTCTTTAATAGGCTCATCATAGCTTTTGTGCCCTTGGAATTCTATTACTACTTGAAAAATATGTGAATGTTTTCATGATCATAGTTTTTTTGCTCTTATCTTTTGGCAGATCAAAGGTTTACTTCTCTAGCTCATTCTTTATATGCCATTTTTCTTTTCTTTTATTGCAGTGTGCTTGCTCGATAAATTGGCCTTCGATTCCTATAGGTAATTTGCACCATAATGTGTAGAGAATTAATTTTAGGACTCATCAATCTTTTCAAGTATTTAAAATGTCAGAATCTTTAAGAAGTTGTTACAGAGCACGCATAAACATTAGACTACGTTGATGTCAATCACATGCTGGTCTGATCGTTGTACTTACATTAGAAATTATATATAATCACTAAATAAAATCATGATTATTGAATA